TGTAAAATGATAAAAACAAAACAAAAAAAACTTTTTTCAATTTCACTTTTTTAAAACTTTTTAAAAGTGTCATCTTTAAAATAAAAGAGGCCAAACTTAAATCTGTGCTCCAAATTCAAGATTTATGACCTTTGAAGTTGGAAATTTCATTTTCAGGTACATGCTCAAAAAGTTAATAAATTAATTATAACTACTGCATAAATATAATTTAGTACCTTAAAATCGCCTAAAATATTAAAATAAAAACATCATAAAACTAAAATATTGAACAATCATTTCATTGAAATAAAAAAAATCTAATCTGTCATTTTTGACTGACATGCGAACATTACTAGAGGGGTTAACAACATTTAACCCCTGAAAATTATGTATTATTATATCATATTATGTATTTTAATGTTGCATCCACACCACTAGGTGTCAGTATATAATTTAAGTAAACCAATAAAAGTGTCTTTGTTATTAATGTAAATGGTGTATATATGATATGATCTGACCTATTTTCTATTTTCTGACTATTTTCAGTAAGCAAGAAGAAGGTTCAACCAGCACCCAAGACCCCCAGCACCCCTGTTGCAACTTCTGAAGCTCAGAAGACAAGAAGTCCAAAATCTGAAGCCAGCTCGAAACTGTCCAGAGACAAGAAACACTAAATAGGGAAATTTTTTTGTGAGGCAAAGTAATAAAGCATTTAATTGACACATCTGTATTGTATTGCACATATCATTAATGATTAAGATTACATTTAACAGTGATAGTGCTTTAAGTGAGTACCAATATATTATGCATATCTAGGTAAAATTAGTAGTATGAAGCTGCTCACGTCTTCACAAGTAAACACTGACTAACACGTTGTCTTTACATCATGGGTGAGTCCTTGGTAGCATCTTCGGAGCCGTCAGCTGCGATCAGGCTTTGATTGGCAGGTCGGGTCAAACTGGCGAGGTCGATGGATTGGGTCAGGACATCAGGAGGTATGTTGAGGACCACAGCGGGCTGCTCCGAGCGCAGATTGTGGAGGAGCTGCAGGATTCGAAGGTGCACGACCAGCGGAGAACCAGAGAGAGACTCCACCGTGGTCTTCAGAGCTTCACAAGCTGCCTTTTCTCCCTCCGCAGCGATCACCTGTGATACAGCGAAGCGCAGTGGTTGTAGAGCTAGGTTGGTAAAAGGGTTGTAGGTTTGAATCCCATTTTGCACCGTTGGCCTTACTTTGACTTGTGCTTGACGTCTCGCTTCGGCCTCCACAGCGAAGTTGTGTTGAAGCGCAGATGGAAGACTGATTTCTTCTCTGTGACAGTGGACATATGTTATGATGAGTACCTCCATGGAACCTCGTTTGGAGTTTAATCTGTTATTTACTTACATTTCCGCTCTTTCCACTTTGATTCCCCACCTGCAGGTTACCGAATCTAAAGTGACCTGTCCGACAAATTGAAGGGATAGTTCACTTTGAAATTCATTTTTGATATGTTTTAGCTGACCTCAAGGGCATCCAAGATGTAGGTGTCTTTGTTTCCAATTTTTAGGTCAAACCGTTCTTGTCTGTCAGTCATATAATGCAGGTCTATGGTCACCACCTCAAAGAGCATGCACAGAGAAGTCCAAATTAAACATGATTTAATGACTCGTAAATGTAAGTACACATTGATGGCCCAAGACACGAAACGAGCGGTTTGTGTGAGAAAACGAACAGTTATATCGTTTTTACCTCTTGTAATCACAGTCACGTCCAAGTCTGCACAAGTGCGCCGGAAAGCCCCGGAAGTGATCCCTAGCATGTGTACGTCACTCATTGTTTACGCAGAGATTTCAGAAGTGTTATCCTTCACTGTGAAGATCTAAACATATTTAGATACACAGGAAATTGCAATGGAAGACGATTTCAATATATTTCAAAGACCAAAGCGCCTGTGACTTTAGATCGCTTGGGCGTGGCTGTGTTTACAAAAGGTAAAAATGATATAAATACTGTTAGTTTTCTCACAAAAACCGCTCGTTTCGTGTCTTAGGCCATCAATGTGTACTTACATTTACGAGTCATTAAATCATGTTTAATTTGGACTTCTCTGTGCATGCTCTTTGAGGTGGTGACCATAGACCTCCATTATATGACTGATAGACATGAACGCTTTGACCTAAAAATATCAAAATTGAAAATACTGTGTAAACAAAGACACCTACATCTTGGATGCCCTTGAGGTAAGCTAAAACATATCAAAATTTAATTTCAAAGTGCCTTTAAAACTTCTTATTTCAAGCCCTCATGAGGGGTCATAACTGTTGAGGTACCTGAACCTCCTGGGCCATCCGTTTCCTGTCCAGCAAAATATCAGTGAAGGCATGATGGGCCAGTATCTCTCTAACGGAGACCTGGGTCAGAGCCTGCAGCACATCTGGGACACCGCCGAGGGTTGAATAACACACGGACACATTCTCGATACGATAGTAACACACCGCACTCACTTCGGTACACACCAGATCTTTGGTCACCACCTGATGATGTAAGGACATTCAAATCATACGGTGTTTATTATTTTTCAGGCTTGTGATTTTCTTGGCGGACGTATTGGATCTTTACATATATTCATTGAGCAGACGCTTTTATCCTAAACGACTCAAAGTACATATATACATTTTATCAGTTGTTTTCTCTGAAATCAAAATGCTGCAAGCACCATGAGCTACACGAAAAGCCTGACTAGAGACTTACGGGTGACCAGCTGCCTCCCTCATGTTTACATACGTGCGTCAGTAGGATGGTATTTGTCATTGTCAGCTTTTTAGAGTACACTTCATTTTATGACTCGGAGGTCGTCTCTGAAAATGCAACGCAAACTTACACATGCAGAAAATATGGAAAATACTTTTTTTGTTGTTACCGTGTGAGGAGGGATCCTCAGTATTTTCAAACGAATGTCCACTATATGGCACACATCCAAAAATGGGAGAGAAAACATCAGCCCTGCAGCAAAATTAAATGTGATAAAAATGCAAAAATGTTAAATGATTAAAAATAACGTTTAAATGATTTCTTATATATGTTAATATTTAAATAATAATAAAATGTATGTAAAACAATAATATTAACACTGAAATATTAAGTTCACATAACTTATTTTTTCAAATTACAGAAGTAATTTACTTAATTTTAAGGCAATTCATTTTAAATAAAATTAATAAAATAAAATTAGAAATAAATAATACTAAAAAAATAATAAATTATAAAAAATATATATAAATAAAATAAATTAATTAGCACTAATTAATAATTATGCTAATTATTAATTATAAAATATTTTGAAACTAGACCTATTAATTGTAAAAATTATTATTTTATTTATAATAAACTCTTTACATAAAAACAGCAAATGTACTATATGTAAAAGTGTTCATATGAAAACGTACCAGGGCCCCTGGGTCTCTTCTGCAATAAATGACCCAACCGAAATATCACCGCTCTCTCATGTTCTCTCACAATCTACAAATAAACCATTTTATTATATATAATAATAACGGTTATAAATTATAGTTATTGGAAGTTAAAAGAGTTATTGATTTGTAACATTTAGTCTCAAAAACTAAAAGCATACCTTCACACAGAACCAGATTAAAATAGGAAAGAAGAAGATCACCACAGACAGGACCAAAACGATGAGAAGCTGCTCACAAACTCCGAGGTATCTCTTCTTCAAGCCTTTCGAGAAAATAAATGATGAGTGACAGAAGAACTGGGGTTCTCCATCTTTTTTAGATGTTTTCTTGTCTAAACTTACCTTCTCCAGGCCCCTCAGTCTCCAATAACCCCAATAACTCCTCTCGATCTTCTTTAATCCGCTCCCTCACGCTGTCTACGTTTACAACTGTGCTTCTGGAAATCATCTGAGGCTCTTTGGATTCACCACTTTCTTCTTCTTCAGTCACTTCTGGTTTTTCTTGTCTTTTGTGAGGCTCTTGGAGCTTGACGGATTTGGGTGCTTTGGTTTTTCTCTCTTTAGGAGAAGGTGACGGCTCCCTCTTTGTCCGCCCAGATCTTGAGGAATGAGATGTTTCGGCTCTTTTCTCCATCTCAGCGAGTAGCATGTGGTGTTCAGTGAGAGGAGCTGTGAGGTGTCATCTGGTGTCTGCTCAGCTCCTGTGTTCTGAAGGGGAGGATTTCTGTAGGCCTGTGAAGGTTCATGATGATGGGGGAGTGTTTGAGCTCTTTAATGAATGTTTCACAATGGTGGCCTCCTACACAGTTTCGTTAGATGCACTCAATGTAAGATCACTTGCTACAAAAAGCCTCATTCTATCTATCTACCTACAGTATCTATCTGTCTACCTACAGTATCTATCTATCTATCTATCTATCTATCTATCTATCTATCTATCTATCTATCTATCTATCTATCTATCTATCTATCTATCTATCTATCTATGTATCTATGTATGTATCTATGTATGTATGTATGTATGTATGTAGACAGACACCAATATAGAAATATATTTTACGTTTTTATCGAAATTATTGCTATAGGGATAAGTGTCCCTAGCGTCCCTATACTAAATTCTACGCCCCTGCTATCAGGGTATTATAAATATCAATCTGCAGTGGTTATGTGGTAGTAGGATCTTTTAGAAAAGTCCCATTTTGCAAGTTAATCACGTGCTCTACAAGAACGTGGATGCTTTTTATAAGTTGAAACCTTGAAATTGTAGTAATTTTCAACGGTGTTTGCAAAATGTTTCAGTTTATATTCTTATATAAATTTGCAAATAATATACATATAGCCGATGTAAAAAGTATTTTTTGAATATAATAAAAAATAAACATAACATGCATGTAACGCGTTTTTAGCACCTGGTTTCCGTAGTTTTTGTAGCACCTTTTGAATAGTTTTTATTTCATTTCAGAGAAATGGAAAACTACACAATCAGGTAAAAACAAGAGATAATCATGTGAAATAAAGAAAAAGAACGCTATACAACAAAAACATGAAGCCATGTGTAAGTTAAGATCGGAATGCGGTCTCGGCAGCACAAGCAGCTTGACTGAATCCTGATAAACCACGTGTCTCACCGAGTCTGCTGCATCTGTCCACCCACAGAGAGAGAGAGAGACGCTAATGAAATAGTTTCACCTGCACTCTGAAAAGTTCATCTCGGAGGATATTTTCTGACAAACGCCTCGCTCCATTGAAGTCATTGCGCTGCACATGTGTGATACAAAATCCGCGTTTTTACGAAACGAGGGCGGCCTGTCGCGTGATCTGCATTGAACGAGAAAACGTGTTTATCTTGCACAAAAGGTAATCACTCGTCCACAAACTACAACAGTAGACATATAAAGTATATACATTTTTAAAAGCCGTTGCGTTAAAGCAATGTTGTCAATAGCCTAAATTACAATGAACGGTGAAGTATTACTATATTTTGGTCTGTTATTTATTATCTCGTGTGTTGTCATCATGATGAACTAATATTTACTTTAAAACTGTCATGTTTCTGTCAGCGGTTAGTCATAAATTCTGTTTTTAGCTGTCAGAATGACCCAAGACCAACTCCTCACGGGACTGAAGAAGGACCTCCGGTCTCTCTTGATCTCAGCTAAGCGTGGCTTGACCCCTGAGCAGCTCAAGAGAGACTACCAGACCATGCTGGGCTTCCCCATTCCCCTCAGGTTACTGGGATTCAGAAACGTTTTAGATATGGTCAAGGAAATGCCAGATGTTGTGCACTTGGAGTACCACCTTGATGGCAGCATAATTTTAAAAGGTGATTTCAGTATTTCATCCCTTTTGTTAGCTGGTAAATCATTGTTTATGGCCTAGAGAATGTCTACTGTGTACTACCATACAATATTTTTTCAAAATAAGGTCCCATGGTGGTCAACCGGGAGGGGAGGGACTTAGGCTCTCTATAGCAAGTCTTAAATCATACAAATGGTGTCTTCAAGAAATTTTAGCATTCATTTTACTCACCCAAACCTGTACGAGTTTCTTTCTTTTAATGTACACAAACGATTGGAACTTTGGCACCATTTGCTTCCATAGTATTTTTTTTTTCTACAATGGAAGTCAATGGTGCCAAACAACTGTTTGTCCCCAATCGTTCTTCAAAATATCTTCCTTTGTGTTCAGCAGAAGAAAGAAACTCATAGAGGTTTGGATGGAGTATCACTTTAATGCAAAAATTTCTTGAAGACACGATTTGTATGATTTAAAGGCATACTCCACCATTTTTTCATATTAAACCATGTTATTCCCTTAACTAAAACGAGTTGATGCATACCTCTCTCGTCTCAGTGCGTGCATTCAATCGCTCTGAAGTACTCCTTTAACTTTGAAGGATCCATCCACTTACATTTATATGAATTTATTTTTCTAATAATCTTAGTTTGTGTTCCACAGACGCAATATTTCCTCTTGTTGTTCTAAGAACATACCGAACTGTCACTTCAAAACTGAGGTCATTTTTGTGTAGTGTAGTTCAAGTTTTTTTTTCCATTTGCAGCCATTGGAGACGAGAGCACCAAAGGCATCGAAGAGCTAGTGTCCAAGCAGCGGGACCACAAACCCAAACCCAAAGTCAACAATCGGAGGGGAAATCTGGTGAACTTCCACACCTCTTTCCCACGCCATCAGCCTGTTATTCTCCCTCGGCGTGGCCCAGCAAAGCCCGCCCTGCCTGCTCAGCTGCGCAGCCAACTAACACAATTGCTATCTCATGGGCCGGTCCGATTATCAGAGCTGGAATACAAGTATACAGTGCAGTTCGGAAAGCCGCTCCAGATCACTCAATATGGCTTCTACTCCATATCCGAGATGCTGGTGGCTGCCGCGGATTTCATAATTATGCAGCAGACTCGCACTGGCTCACAACTACTTCTGAAAAGCTCTGTGGTGCCACTAAATCAGACCGAAAATCGGATGCAAGCCTTTCCAAGAAGTGTATGTATATGATATTGGAATCTATTGAAAGCCTAGTTTGATGATCTTTTGCGTGATGATTGCTCTTGGTTTTATTTTGCAGTGGAACCTCCTTTGGTGGAAAAATTCAGTCCTGAAGCAACTTCACCGCCTAAAAGCGAACAGCAAAGTTTGTCCCCTGCTGTTCCTAAACCAGAGCCTGTGAAGAAAGAGCACTCTTTTGAAGAAACCATTTTTAAGGTTTGGATATTGTCCAAGCGCTTGTATGAAATAAGTGCGATATTCGCTGTAATTGTGCTATAAATAAATCTTCTAGCTTGAGGAGGAGCTCAGACAGCAGATTTTCGAGAAGGGCACCGCTGGCTCCGTCAGCCGCGAACTGAAAGATAAGCTACGGAAGGTCAGACGTAACTGCTTAAACTCAGCCTTTCTTGTCTCATATTCTCACCTTGGCTTATGAGATATGGATCTTATTTCAGGTTGTAGCTCAAAATGGCAAGGGGATCTCCATTCACAATCTACCAGCAGAATATAAGGTATTATCACAAAGCCTGTCTGGAACATGTCGGAGTTAATATCTGAAGAAGAAATTAAGAAATTGGATTTTGCATGCAGAAATGAAGCTTTTTTGGGGGCATTAAAGCTACACTGTGTAACTCTTTTAGTTTATTCTTAGCTAAAAACACTTAGTTCTTTCAAAAATATGCTCATTAATGTATATTTACTTTGTTCAAGTAATAAAGTATTCTCGTGAGTGTATAATATGCCATTGAAAATACATACGGGTAACGGGTGCCATGTTGCCCTTCCATCTTGAAAGTACATTAGCCAAAGAGGGACATACCCGTTAATTCAAGCTTCGCCTTTCGCGTTTACGTTTGAGTTAACACTCATGGACAAGATCGAACTGGAAGCCATGTTAATCTTGGACTACATTGGCCACCGTAGGAGTTAAAACGAAATCGGAATTGAGAGGAACAGAAACTAATATTCACTGGATGGTCGTATACCTTTTCACCACTAGATGGGGGTAAAAATCACACATTGTAGCTTTAACATTTTATTTTTTTTTCTTTTGTATAAGGTATAATATGTGGTCAGCCAGATGTTTTTGCAAAATAAACCATCACATGATGGTCAGAATCTTGTTCCACTCTGTGAAAACTACAACAGCTTATCCTTAGCTATATTTGTGAGTTGCTAGATGGCACTATTCTAACTTGTGGTCTGTTTTTTGCTGTTAGCGAATGTATAGTGAGGAGTTGCCGGTGAGCCAGTGTGGCTTTCTGAGCGTGACTGAGATGGTTGGTGCTTTAAGTGATACATTTTCCATCCAAAGAGGTGCTGATGAGAGTGAAAACCACTGGATGGTCGTGGAGTTCAAACCAAATGACATACAACCCAGTAAATCTGGTACTCCCCTTTCTTATTTGTGTCATATGGATTGGAACAAAACCAAAACAAATGAGTGCTTCAGATGCAATAATCACTTTTAATGAGACTTTGATTGTGATGTATTCCTTTTGCAAGAATTATCCCCGGGTCACGGCACCACTTCCAATCCGACGGACGAATCACCGAATCCCTCCAGCAAGGCTTATTACTTAGGCTATGCAGAATCTGCCTGGGAGCGCGAAGAGTCGGAGCAATCCACAGACCCTCAAGAGTCTGACGCTGAGCTCAGAGTCACCAATAAAACCATCCATCAGGTTAAGAGTCATTAGTGATAATCCATTATCTTTCCTTCCCAGATGAATCATCCCCTACAGTAAACTTTCAGAGCTGCACTTTTGTAATGTCAATATTTAATTTAAATAGATACAATTGGTGTTAGTGCTGTCAATCGATTAATTGCATCTAACATAAGTCTGTGTGAATATATATATATATATATATATATATATATACATACCTATGTGTGAAATTAAAAACAATTAAAAACATGAAGAAAAATTTCAGATAGACTTGAAGGTTATGGATCTGAAGTGTATATATATATATATAAACACACACTAAATATATTTACAAACTTTTGTTAGATGCGATTTTGTCGGTTTGACCGCTTTAACTCCGAAGTATGCATGAATACTTTATTTATTTAAATGATATATTTTGACATTATATAACCTGTGTATATGTTGTATTATATGCTGCAAATTATATTATACATTAAAACATCTAATCTATATATATATATATATATATATATATATATATATATATAATATACTGTATATAATATATGAAATTGACATATATATATGTGTGTATGTGTGTGTGTGTATATACTGTATAAAAGCGAGATCTGTAAATGTCAGGTAAAATTTATATTATATTATAAACTAAGATATAAAACCTATATGTTACATAATAAAATATGACGTATTAAATGACAAAAAAATTATATACTGTATATAGATGGATATCTGTATATATTAAACAAAAA